AGCAGTAGATACCTTGGTGTCTGGGATATGAGTAGGGTTTACTATGAGCCTCTTCTTACTACTCTGTTCTTATCCAATCAGTCCATTTAGGTTGATCTAGAGATGGAATGGTAGGTGTGTTCTTAGTTTCCTCCACCAAGGCCATTACGTTTTCCTGAGCTCTTCAGCATCTCTACTCTTTCTCAGACACCCAGTGAGAAAGCTGCTATTGGTGTTTTCTTTGTTCATTTGTTTGTGTCTCCAGTTAGAAGGTAGTTTTTCAAGCCAATTTGCTACCCATAAATCTTTTGGATGCTAAAGCACCACTATCTTCTGACCTCCCCACCCCCTCAGGACCCTTCCTGGTTTTCTTGGTCCATCAGAGATCCACACCTGTTGTTCATTTTTCTCTGTATAAAACTAGCAATAGCTTAGACAAAGAGTATTGCTTTTATGTAAGAAGTCTTGTGATGGGCAGTTTGCGTTGCTTCATCAGACAGTATTAAGCCACTATTTCTGGAATTCTTCTGTTCTTTTCCTTTGGGCTAGCTAGATGACTGCTAGACTCACACCCGTCACCTAGAGCTCAAGGCAGGAAGAAAAGCTGATTCCATGTCTGTCACTTTTGACCAGGAAAGTGGAAGATTGCTTAAAAACCTCCTCTTTGAATTGTGTTCACATCAGTCTGCAGCCTGGATTGCAGAGGTCTTAAAAAGCAAGTGTTTAATGGGATACAGTGCTCTTTAGCTAAGAGAGAGTTCTGTCAAGGATGAAGAGGAAGGTGGGTTTGCATTAGCAGTCCATATAACCCAGCCTCCTCTTGGACTCATTCACAGTTTCTAATGCCCAACCTATAGTAATGTCAGAATAGACACTTGTTATGATGGATTAATGAATGAATTAGATAAAACAAGTCAGGAGACTATAAGACTATGACATTATAGCCTGGCTGTTTATGCAGAGTCCTAAAATAGAAGGTACCACACCCAAGAGCTCTGAAGCCAGGTTGCTGCCTTTGCAAAGACCTCCCTGACAATCCTCCTGTTTCTGAATCTTAATTGGGTAAGCCTTAATTGGGCATTATTGACCTGAAAGTTATTTTTGCTGAGTTTTATCAGAGCCTCAGCAATGTAAGTATTGACCCCTAGATAAGACAATTTATAATTGTTTTTAGTTGTGTACTACCTCTCTTCTGAGTCTTCAGCACTTTATCTTTGGCTCCAGACTCTTAGACCATACTCACCAAAAGGTTTCAATAAACCACCTTCTCTGCCTTTTCCTAGAAAGAACTTTAAAGATGCTTTTGAGAATTGTCCTAGGAGTTTTATACCATCACGCCACAACCCATGTTTTCCCTCCACTAGAGAACGTCCTCTCCAAGAAGACTTTAAGTAAATGAATTTGTACTCATTGCTTCAGAGTGCCAGTAATATTTTCATGTGCCCTCTTGGTGGGCTTCTTGAGAAACCCTTTATTTGGCTGTATTTGCAACAGGCACTCAGATTGTCAGCTTAGCAAAGACAAGTACCTGTTTCAAAATTAATACCCACTCCCTGCCCTTTTGTATCTTTCGTCCTATGCCCTTCCCAGATAAAGTACCTCTATGGTAGAGGGAACAGTAGCATATAAGATTGTGTAAAAGTAGGCAGGTGAGCAAGAGACAGTGGGCAGCTCCTCCCCTTCCTTAAGGTATAGACAATTTTGATGAAGAGTTTCTAGAAATTCAGTTCCTGAAACGGATTGTGTAATAGTAGAGTTTCTAGTGGGTTCCGTTTTTAGTATAATTTAAAGAAATTTGTGGTTAGAGGAGAAAGCATTGAAAGCAGAGAGCTATGTTACAGAACCCTACCATGCACTGGAATTCCGTGTTACTGGTCTGCAGGGTTATTCCTGACTTTCTCTTTAGCTCCTCCCTCCAATCTTCATTATGCCCCCTTTTCATTCACTTCCTGTCCATTATCTTCTTTCTCGTTCCTTCCCATCTTCTGCCACCAAAGGTGGGGAGCAGAAGGAAAGAGTGAGTGTGTATTTGTTTTGGGAAGATGCCCTCTGAAGTAGGTAGGCTGTTCTCCCCACCCCAGGAAAAGCCAAATTTATATTGGCTGAAAGAGAAAATAAAATATCAGCAAGTGAGTCACTGGCCAGGGCAGATAAACCAGCTAAATATAGTACCCTGAAAACTTCACTAAGTAGAGTGCGCTGTGATAGGAGGCCCTGTCAGGACCGTGGGTGCCTGGGACAGAAAGACCTGTAGCAAAGTTACCTTAAAGGCCAGGCAAGGACCCACCAGTCACTGTTAGAAGGATAGTGAAGACTTAGTGTGTTTCATGAAATTTGGTTTACTTCACAGTTTATATGCTCAGGTTAGTACTTGAAATATTTTATTTTGGTAGTTTACTCTGATTATTATAAACTATGTCCCTACCAACCATCCTGGTTTTTCTGCTGGTCCAAAAAAAAAGGCTAGAAGTCTCCAGTTTGTGTTTCTCTATCAATAGATGGCACCAGCAGTCAGAATCTGTAAGTAAGTCTTAGCCTCTTAGAGCTACAGAAGTAATCATCTTTTTTTAACTGAAAATTTTCTTTTCACACAATATATTTTGTTCATGTTTTTCTCCTTCCCCAATTTGTCCCAGATTCTCCTTACCTATCTACCCACCCAACTTCACATTCTTTTCCTTTTTCTGCCTGTTTCAAAAAACAAAATAATAAGAAGCAGAAACCCTACAAAAATGAAAATCAAAACAATCAAAAGACTGATAAGACAAAAAATGCCAAGGCAAAATGTAATGAAACAAAAAGTCTACAAAGATCCTATTGAGTTTGTTTTGTGTTGGCTAACTACTCCTATGCTCAGAGCCTACCATAAAGTGTGATTGATGTACCTTGTGAGATTCCACTGGTGAATACTGATTTTTTTTCCTTTGTTAGCCAGTATCAATTACAGATGGCTCCTGGGCTAGAGATGGGACCCTGTGTCTACTTTCCCTTCTGAGTGCCCAGACACTGTCTGGCTTGAACCTGAGCAGGTATTATGTGTGTTACTACAGTCTCGGTGAATTTTTCAGTCCTGTTATATCTTGAAAACACTATTTCCTTGGAGTAATCCATCACCTCTGGTTCATACAATCCTCATAGTTTTCTGAGTCTTGGCTGGGAGTGGGAAGTTGGTGAAGATATTTCCTCTAAGACTGAGTGCTGCAAAGTCTCTCGTCTCTCCCTCTTTGCACATTGTCCAGTTGTGGTCTCTGATAATTCCCATCTACTTGCAAGAGGAAGCTTCTCTGATATGGATTGAGCAAGGCACTGATCTATGAGTATAGTTGTGTGCCATTAGGTGTCATATGCATACTATGTTCCTTTAACAGAATAAGTAGTGGGTATTCTCTTAGGTCCATAACCTGTCTAGTCTTGGGTTCTTGGTCATCTTAGCAACATGAGGTACATATTCCATCTCATTAAATCAAATAAAAAAAATAAATAGTTACTTCTATAACATTTGTGCCACTATTATACCAGTATATCTTGCAGACAGGTCACTGTTTTGTAGATCACAAGGGTTTGTAGCTCTGTGGTATTGATGATAACCTTTTTTCTTCTAGTAGCTCTTTTCTGCTGACCCTCTCAGAAGTTAGAATCTTAACAATTTATAACTGCAGGTGTCCTATTGAAAGTCCCAAGAATGAGCAGAAGACACTAAAATCAAGCCCTGCTCAAGCTAATGTACTAAGTGGGAAATAAAACCTTAGAATCTCGTGAGTGTGATTGGGAAGTATTTGGTTTAAAAAATAAACACACACACACACACATAACAAACAACAACAAACAGAAGTGAAATTTGAAACTTAATTCGCTAAAATGAAAACTGCTGTCCATTTCATAGCCGACAAATGCTGTTTAAAATCACCTGTAAGCCTGAGTTTTCACATAAAATTCTTGAAGATGTTATCACAACTTCTCAGTCCTCTTTTTTCCTATCAGGTTGTGCCTCCCCCACCTCAAGTGTTCTGTAGACATCACCTTAAAGTGTATTCTTAAACCTAGATTAGCCATTTAAATGATAGTGCCCAAGGTCACTCAACTAATGGCTGAGTTGGAAAATGAACCCAGATTGTCCTGTTGCAGAACACCACACTTAGTATTTAGGACTGACGGTATGACCCAAAGTGAAGGATGTACACAGTGGTCGCTATCACACCTTATAAGGACCCGTGAAACCAGAAGCTTGAAGTTGCTACTGTATTGTCTTTGTGCCTCTGTAACGATGTCAGAAATTACTGGAAAAGATTCCAGAAAGAGCCTGAAGAACTTAACCTCTCTCTGCATTTCAGGGGTTTGGGTTAAGTAGAGAAGACTAATCAGGCCTGTACATAGGTGTAAGTGAGTTAGATTTTAAGGGTTGCTCCTATTACTGCCAAAAAAAAAAACAACAAAAAAAAAACAACAAAAAAAACAACAACAACAAAAAAGCCACTAAGCTGTTCTTTTATTCTCCACACCTCCAGTTTGGGTGACAGTTTTTATCCATACGAAATACTTTTGTATATCCTATTGTAATCTTTGTGTTAAGAACTATCAAAATAGATTCATGTTAGTAAATGCTATGGAAATAACATACATAGCACACTTTTAAGGTGTTTTCCTGTCCAATAATTTGTCTCAAAATACATGTACATGGATCTGCAGTTTATGGCAATCTGCTCTGATAATGTCACACTTTACTTGGAACATCCTCTTGCTACATCCCATTGTCCCCTCTTAGCCTTTACTTCCTTTGAACACCCTCTCCAGCTAACATATCATGGCAGAACAGAGACCTAATCTGCTTTATCCGGACACACACAGAAACACAATGGTAACTGTTTGCTAGACCCAGTACCTGTCTAGTAATTTTATAGGTAATATCCAGCTTCCTACATGGAGGATAAAGAAGATGGTTAACATTGTGTGCAGAACTCTGAGACATTGCCTTCATCTGCTCTCCAAGCCCTGGCCTAACACCAAGTAATTTCTGATTCTAGAAAAACAATTGTGTGATGCCTGAAGATGTGAGGAACTTCTATTTGATGACCAATGGCTTTCATATGACATGGAGTGTGAAGCTAGATGGTAAGTCAGTCTCCTTGATGCTGGAGAACACTTTCCTGGTAGAGGTTAGATGAGCAGCTCTGAGGTCCTTAGAATTGTAAGATCTTTTCATCTATACTATTTGTGTGGGTCTCAAGTGTCAAATCCAGAAGCTGTGATCCCCTCCTCCTCCAATGCTAACCAATGCTATCAGTGCTTTCTCTACTCTTACAGTGTTTGAGCCTGAATTGTTCTGATCTAGAAGCCCAGTTTAGAGACTTCTTGCTAGAGGAAATCATTAGTCACCACATAGAGAACCCAACTGACTCAAACATAAAGCATCTGAGAACTTTCTAGCTACAAGCAGTATTTCCTAGTTTTCTTGAAACAGCTGACCAACTCTACCGAGCTCCAAATGTCATTCTTACCACTGTGCAGCTTTAAGGCTCTAACCCTCAAACCAGAATTTCTCTTTCTTTTTTTTACATCAATCACCTCAGCCTACATCACCAAACACCTATGTTCAGGCGTTTTCTAAGTCATGTATCTATGCCTAAACATTTGCATTGCCGATGTAGAAGCCCAGCTTGTTACATGCCAAGGATTTCAGATAGTATATAAAATATGAAAGGTGGTAAACACTACATATGTATATGAAAATTCTTCAAAAAGTTCATAAGTTAGGAAGTCCTGAAGTACCCTTTGGGATCCAGCCTGTGCCTGGCACAGTCTTACCAGATGTGACCTCAAAGGAGCCTTTATTACTTTATACTCTAGCCACATCTCCACATGCTCTTGGGCCTGGGGAAGCACCTATAGCTCCACACTGCTGCTGTTAAGGAGGAGTGATTTCTGTTGCACAGAAAAGCTACACAACTGACTTCCCCCTTCCATGTCTTTGCCTCCTCCTAGCACATCTGAGTTGCCTTTTTTGATGATTTCTAAAACGTCTATCCGTCTCTTGTACCTAGCCAGAGGTACTTTTTATAGACTGTTAATGAATATATGATACTAGCTTTTACCAAAATCATTTTATTCAGTGGACTAAAAACCTTGTTCATAGTGTAATATCTTCTTCTGTTACTTTATTTATTTCTCAATCATGGTCTTTTTATCCCCATTACTAAATGGCTTAATGCAGTGACAGAAAAGGCAACAGAGCTGAAGAGATGACTGGGTGGTTAAGAGCATTTACTGCTATTCCAGAGGGTCTGAGTTTGGTTCCCAAGTGTCCATGTAACTCATAATCACCTGTAAATCCACCTCTGTGGGACCCAGGGACTCTTCTGGCCTCCAAGAGAATCCATACACATGCCAGACACTCACATACACATAAAAATGAATTAAAGGTAGCAGAGGTGGCCTTTAATATTTACTTTAGTGATCTTTCCTGATATTCCATGATTTATGGATTTGCTCATTCTAATCTTTTTAGATTTCCGAGTTTTTGTTTGCCAGTCTTTATCCATCATTCTACATCAACAGGGTTCTATTATGGCTCAGTGGTTAAGAGCACTGCCTGCTCCTCCAAAAGTCCCAAGTTCAGTTCCTAGCAACTACATGGTAGCTCACAACCATTTGTCATGAGATCCAGTGCCCTCTTGAGGGAGAGACCTGGCCAGCTGTCTCATCAATTATACCATGAAACCCAATATGGACAAGTTCGACAGAACTACCATATATGGGCTGCCCATGCGTGCTTCATCAATGCCAGGGCATAAATTTCATTTTCATTTCTATGTAATATAAGGCAATATGTAGTATGCTGTCTCTTAGTTATACCCCATTCATAAAAGACCAGACCCAACAAACAAGAAGGGTGTCAAGTTCTCTATATCAAGGGAAAATGACAAACAGAAGGAGAGCTGTTTTCCAACATGAAGGTTTATAATTTTTTTAACAAAAAGTGTCTATTACATAAAGCCACAATTCCATTGTAAATTTTAGTTCTTGCCAGGCAATGGTGGCATGTGCTTTTAATCCCAGTACTCAGGAAGCAGAAGCAGATGGATCTATGTGAGTTCAAGGCCCCCTTGGTCTACAGAGTGAGTTCCAGGACAGCCAAGAACATCTAAGGCTACAAAGAAACCCTGTCTCCCACAAAACAAAACAAACAAAAAGAAAAAAGAGGGAAAAGAAAGTAGTTCTGGCTAATACAAGGGAATTGAGTGAGAATATGTTTTAAGTCATTTAGTCTTCATGCAGTTACTGAGTAAATTTTCTAGCCCTTGTGAATATCCCATTAAAACCTTTTCTTCAATGGTACCATAATAAACATGGTTAGAACTGCTCATCATCCTTTGAGCCCAGTTCCTCTGTTTGTTTACATAAAAAGCTAGTGTTTGGGACATATATAGTAAATGCTCCTCTTCTGTGACCTTCTCTCAGGCTCCTCAGACATGGAGCCACTCTCAGTGGGTTTATTGGGTTAGCCAAGCAAAATCACTTATGGTCACCATTGTCTAACCACTTGTCATTCTTTTTGTTCTCATAGAACACATCATTCCACTGGGAAGCATGGTGATTAATGGTATTTCAAAACTGACTCAGCTCATCCAGTCTTCTATGTATTCACTTCCTAATGCACCAACTCTGGCAGACCTAGAGGACGATGAAGAAGGTACCTGGTGGAACTCTTGCTTTGGGTTAGAATTTAGCCCTCTCGGCTCACTTTTATGATACTGAGAACTATAGGAACATGCTGTAGAATTGTTTTCCACTCAACATGTTTTCATCCATAGCTTCTGGAAATAAGATAGAAACATAAGAAAACAAATACCAACAAACAAAAATTTCATGAAGGAAATTCTAGGGTCATGTCTTTTATTTTCTTTCTTGTACCCATTTTAGTGCCAGTCATGTAGTGGAGGCACTTAATAAGTAGTTACTGAAGGAATCAGTGTTATGGATTAAAATTCACTCAATTCAGAGGCCAGCCATGGTGGCACAGGCTTATAATGCCAGTACTTGGGAGACTGTAGCAGGAGAATCATGCATTTGAATTCAGCCAACTACATAGTGTGACCATTTCTAAAACAACAGGATTCAAGAAATAGGGAAGACTAAATACAGCTACTTTTCTTCCCATTCCGAGCTCTAATCACTTTGCTACTTGAGAATGAGATGGCTTACAGACCAAATAACTAGAAGAGACTAAGAGCGGTGGTGTGCAAGTAAGGAGTTCTTTAGTCAGAACTGTCTTTAACTGGTATGGCAAAATCAGTTACACTGTCTTCTGAAGTAGAAATCTGAGAATAGACAGACATTGTGGCTTAATTGAGAAAGGCAGTCTCCAGGCTTCCTGCTGCGCCAGCCTTTTGGGATATTGTGCTGTGTTTTGTTTTTCTTCGTGGTTGATATATATATATATATATATATATATATATATATATAAATATATATATATATAGGCTCTACCTATGGGCTTCAAGTCTTTGCTCCAGGGGAAAGAAGAAAAGACAAGGTAGGGGAAAAGATCTTGGCAAAATCTACCATTTTTCCCTTATCAGAACAACCATGTTCTCCAAAGCCATTGACCAGAGCATTGTTAAAGCAGGGGAATCTTGAGAGTATTTAGATTTGTAAAGAATTGTTTCTTCCAGTGGAATTGGGAATTAATTAAGAAAAGGAAAACAAACAACTTGTTTCTAAGCCTTGAAGGTTTACCAAAGTCCTTCTAAAGGTAATAATGTAAGGCTTCCCTCATAACCAGTTGATCAAGAAATAATAGTACCAGAGGGGTCAAGGGACAGACTGGTTAAGTCATGGGTACTGGAAAAAAAGAGACTGTCACTCAAAGAGCTATAGGATCACAAGGATAGGGAGATTGGTTACATTGACTTAATAATACATGTATGATAAGTCTTCTCTAAAAGGCAAAGTAGTTAAATAGATAGGCTAGGGTTACACTCTCCTTGAGATTAGAAGTCATGAATCAGATTAGAGAAGATATTTTCACAAAAACTTGAACAAAGAGTAGGGACCACAGTGCCTATATACCTATGGGTATAAAAAACACTCAGCCTTCTAGTTTCTGCTGGGTGTATGCATTTTACAGTAGTCTAGACTTTGGTATCATTATAGGATGTGAGAAAGAAACATGTTAAGTAAACACTAGTAAAAGAAAATGTTTTGGTAGTTAAGAGTGCTCTTACAGAGGACTGAGACTCCCAGCACCCACATCATCAGGAAGCTCACATAAGCATCTGTAATGCTAGTTTCAGGGATTCAAATGCTCTCTGGACCCTGCAGGCATCTGCATGCAAGTGGTGCACATAAAATTATACAGTCATACACACAAGGAAGGATAGCCCAGCAAGTAAGAGCACTTTTTCTTGTAGGGTCCTGGGTTTGCTTTCCCTGCACCCACATGCTAGTCTCACAACCAACTTTAACTTCAGTTCTCAGGGACCTAATGTCTTCTGAACTCTGCAGACACCAGGGCATGTGTATGGTACACAGACACACATTCGGGGAAAAATACTAATAAAAATAAACTAAACTCAATAAATCTGAATTCTTTTTGATCTTTAGAAGGAAGTATCTACAGATTTGAAAGGATTCATCCAAAATGGGGAGGGAGAGAAGAAGATAGGGAGGAAGGGAGGGAGAGAGGGAGTGAGGGAGAGAGGGGAGGAAGAACAAAAAGGAAAGAAAAGGCATTTGTACACCCTGATTACTGGGGAGAAGGTGACAAGCTTTTATACTTGTGAAGAAATGATAATCATGTTAACACACTAATCAAGTTTCTTGTGTGTGGTAGTGGAAATTAGAAAATGGTGAGAAACATTTAGTGGTTACTGGGGGGGGGGGCGAATAATGAAAATTGAAAGTCCTGTATATGCAAAGTAAATGTACCTTTTGGGTTATAAGAAGAAAGTTATAATTTGTAGGACTGTTGTGTACAACTTTTGAATAAAAGGAACATTTTTAAAATGTTTATCCTGTTTTAGTTAAACTTAAAGTTATAAAGAGAGGCTAACTTAAAGTCTTGTAGGTTAATTTGAAGCCCATTCCCGGAAGCAATATCTTCAAGTCATAGATCCCATAGTTCTTCAATGTAACCTCCTTCTCAAGCTGCAGTTTGAATTGACTAAGATGAGATCATGCTGGATCAGGGCGAACACTTTAAAAAGAAGAAATTTGGAGACAGGCACATGCAAGAAGAGTGCCATTTGAAGATAAAGGCAAAGTTGGGTTGATTTTTCTTCAAGCCAAGAGCATGTGCGTGCACACACACACTTGAGCAAGAAATGAAAAGCTAGAAGAGCAGCTGGAACAGATTCTTCCCCACAGCCCGCAGGTGGAGTGACCTCTAGGCACTTTGATTTCAAACTTGTGCCCACCAAGTCTATGAGACAAGAATTCCATTTAGGTCACTGAGTTGGTGGTACTTTATAACTGAAGTCTTCACAAACTAACACTGGTTTTGCTCCTCTAGAGGAGAATGGAGACAAAGCTGGCAAAGCAAAAGGTTTCCTTTATTGTAGGAATGAAGTCTTACACCTTATTGGGGACAACAGTGCCTTGATGTATCAGTTTTCTATGCCTAACAGATTACCACAAATTTAATGGATTGAAACTACACAAATCCATTGTTGGTTTTGTTTATCAACAGTTTCCATGAGTTAAGAATTCACCTACAGGGTAGCTGAGTTCTCTTCTTAGCTAAATGCCCTGGCACTTTTTGATTAAATTAGTCATATGGTTCTAATTATGTAAGAAAAAAATAAGTATTTGTTCATCTGAAGTAACAACAGAGAGAGTGGCTCTTGAAAAAAAGTTATCTGAGAATGAATGGAATTCTAGTCTGGCTTGTGGTTATTACAGAATCATGGGTATGCCCAGAAGAGTTCCAGAAAGGAGGGGTTTTGAAAGACAAAATGAAGTTCAAATAAGTTGCCTTGAAACGGATTGAAGGCCACTGCAGACTTGGTGTTAACCATTGATAGAGATAGCCATTGAAATTCTTTATTGAATTTTTGCAGTCTTAAATAATTTATTTTAAAAAATTAAGACAGAAAAATGTAATATATGTAAAATGAAGGGAGTTTGCAAATAAAGCATGCATGAGATGCATGTGGATTCCATGAGAACACCTTTGACTTTGAGGAAACCTTTTTAATAGTTTGTACCTCAGACACAAGCATACACTTCCCACTTCTTCATGACCTACCAGCTCTAATTTGGGGTGGACAGTGACCTAAGTAACTTTGATACAGTAAAGGAATAAAACTCTATATTGGCATCTCCGGTCTAAAAGGGGAGGAAAAGGAAGAAAACATAAAATGAGAAACATAATGGGATAAAATGAAATAGATCAATCTTTGTAATAAGTAATACTAAATTGAATTTCCCCTTTGAAGAAATTCTATTAGACCAGAATTTACCTGCATCTTACTTTTTAGGAGCACACTTAACCTGGTGAAGACACTTCCTCTTGAGGTAACGGCAAATGGGTGGTTGAGAGCAGCCTTCCTACTGAAGATGCAAAGTGGGACAACATTTACAACTCATCTTCCTAAAAACTTCAAAGCAGCATCCGGAAGAAGCTAGAGAATCTAGAGAACTCTTAAAGTGAAGACTGGCTTTTGCCCAGGGTGCACTGTCCTTATTCACAAGAGATAGTATGCAACTGAAAAACTGAGCCAAAGGAGAAGATGGATTCCAGGGCCTGTGAAAGATGGTCCCCATTAAAAACCACTCTACTGTTTGGGTTGGCACTGAAAAATGCTGTACCCAAGGAGACAGCATGAACTAGAAGAAACAACTCTTCACATGAATTGAAGCTCAAGTGTGAGTCATCTGTATATTGAAGCTGCCAGAGAGTTCACAGAAAATGTTAAACCCCAAAATTATATTAAATTAATTCTAGTTTTTTCATTGAAATTAATATTCTATTTAATATAATTGTATTTTGCAACGGATTTGTAATTTCTAAAAAAGTCACTTAATTCTACAATAAAAGTTAAGATTTCTGTTATGATTTAGAGTCATCTCTCTGATCAGGTGTCACATAACATGGTAAATGTGATTGTCAGCAAATGGGGCAACCTTTCTGTAGTTATTTTCTTTTTTGTTAACTTTTTTATTAAAAATAGATTCTTCTCTCATACAATAATCTCATCTTCAGTTTCCACTCCTCCTGTCCCCCTCCCCCAATCTCCCTTCTCCTCAGATCCACTCACCTTCTTTTTCCTCTTTAGAAGGAGCAGGTCTCCAGGAGATGATGGTGAGACAGGACAAAGTGAAAGCCCTCATATAGAGCTGGACAAGGCAACTCAATAGGAGGAAAAGAGTCCCAGAAGCCGGCAAAATAGTCAGAGATACACCCACTCCCGCTGTTAGGAGTCTAACAGTAACACCAAGCTAACAGCCATAAGATAAACACAGGGGACCTGGTACAGACCCATGTAGGCCCCATGCTTTTCATGTTCTTTAGTCTTTGTGAGACCTGCTTAGTTGATTTGGTAAACCATGTTCTCCTGGTGTCCTCCATTCCTGCTGACTCCTCTTCTGCAGGGTTTCCCAAACTCCAAAGGGACAGAGCTGATGGAGGCCTCCAATTTAGACTCTCTCTGCCTCTTAACCCCCCCCCCCCCCGCCCATGTACTATGTGACAATGGATCTCTGCATGTGTTCCCATCTGCTACTGGAGGAAGCCTCTCTGATGACAACTGAACAAGGCACCAATCCTTGGTTTCTGTGCTATCCAATCTCTGATTCCTAGCTATCTAGGCAGTGTAGGACATGTGTTCCCTCTCATGGGGTGGGCCTCAAGTTAAACCAAACAATTGTTGGCTGCTCCCACATGTTCTGTGCCACCACCGCACCAGCACATCTTGCAGGAGGACAGGTAGATGGAGAGGTTTGTGGCTGGGTTGGTATCCAGGTTTCTCTTTGCACAGCCTAGACATTACCTTCTCACGCCAAAGACACTGTAACGTAGGGGTGACGGCTCCAAGCCCACATCAGCTCAACCTCTCCGTGTTCAGTGAGCTGAGTGGAAGTGTCCTTGCCAATGCCCCCTAACCCACTATCAGGTTTAGAGGGTGACTTCTGTCCTAGATCCGCATGGGTTGTTTAGAGATCTCCACAGGACCTCCTCAGCCAACAACTCTACCAAATGGAAGCCTTGTCTGGCTATAAAATATGGCCAATTGAAATTCCATATCCTCAATTACTAGGTGTCTTCACTAAGATCAGCCTCATAGGTTCCAGGAAGTTTTTACTGCACTAGGTATCTCTACCACCCCCACAATGCCCCCAGTTCCAGCTACCTCTCCCACACTCTCTCTCCCTCCATCCCCTAAACACACACACACACACACACACACACACACACACACACACACACACA